TGGATATGTGTATATATGCGAAATTTATGCCCGAAACTCATTTTACTTTGTGCCCACTAAGCCAATAAAAATTCGCACAAAAACGGCATGACAGGCCGCCGAAAATGTCAGTGGCCCATCAAAAGGGATTGACAGCAAACTCTGGGGAGAAACGAAGGACAGGAGAAACGAAGGACATAAATACACATATATAAATAAGGCGGGATTGGGAATAACAAGAAGCCAGCTATTTGCGGCATATTTTACACGCTTCTCTACTTCGTTTACACGCACGAAATGGAGGACGAGCTGCCAGGACGAAGGACCTTGCTCCACTCTATCCGCTCGCCAGGGAAAACGAGGAAAATAGATAGATAGAGGCGGCCAAAGCATTTGATGTGCATGTATGAGTGTGCATATAAAGTGAAAACATTTACACATGTTTGATTTATGGGTCAAGTGTGTGATAAAACTACAAAAGCAGTCTGAATGGAGCGAAGGAGACGGCTTCTGAAATCAGAGTAAATCATGCAAAATCCAAACGAAAGATGAGAATATGCCGGCGTGCCGTACGACAGAATTATGCAGTCACAAGGATGTGCGAAATGTCGCAACTCGAGCGCTCAGCGACGCGCAAAAGTATGCTATAAAAGTGACAGAAGGAGTGAGGCCATCACCACCCAGGATCTCTTTCTCCAGGACTCTCCCCCCACCCCCTCCTCCGCGCGTGGCCATAAAAATTGTATTTCAGTTAAGTGCCCAGCAATTGGACACTGTCCGCTCGGAAAAGGTCCGGCTTAAATGGCATTAAATGCACACCAGGGCCGGGGATTTTTCATCCAGCCTGACAGCCCATAATTCGAACTACGGCGAAGGGATAATGACAAGATGGGCATGTCCAGGCCCGGTTAACTGAATTAAACTGATTGAGATTTAAAATAATATTTTTGATGTTCTTTACATATATTTTAGCCAGATCAAGGTTATATTTATGGGGCTAAGTAAGGTTTTATATTCCAGTACTTAAATAAATATTTAGAGGAAATAAACTTTCGATTCCAGGCTGATTTGAAATAATTTATTTGTTGATTGATTTTTCCTTTTTTAATAAGGGGCTACATCATGATATTTAATGAAAATTGAACAAAAATAACATTTATTAGCTTTTAATGCCAATCGATTCAAAATTTCATTACGAATTCGACGAGGTATGGCATTTCAACATTTGACCATTATTTTTCATTGTTTTGATCAAAAAACAGAAACTTAAGTTATATTCTTCGGAATTTCGGCAATAATAAAATTTTTTTTGTTGATTTTGGTCTACACTTAGCAAAAATAGGACGCAGAGCTGTAAGAACAACTGTTCTAAAGACCTTAACTAACAATTCAAGACTAATTTTGTTTTTCAGCTAAACAGTTTCTTTTTTACCGAAATTGAAATTTTGAATAAAGCTTAACTTCATTATTTGTTGCGAAAATAAAATTCATCAGCTGTGAATGCCCACTGATTGAAAATGTCATAACATATTCAACGAGGTATGACATTCTGACATAAAATAAAGCCAGTCTAATTCATCCAAGTCAGGAATTATTGCCCCTGATTTGGAAACTCCACCAATCCACCCGTATAATGGGGCACTCACACACAGACACGAACAGAGTGCAGATGGGTAATTGCATTTGATGCCAACTTAAATTGACCAAGAACGACAGTTGCCAGCAAATCGAGTTAACTTGTGGCAGAGCCCAGATCAGATGGCCATATGGATTAACGATTATGACAGCGTTCGTGTAACCGTGACTCTCCTTTAACTTGCAGTCACAGCTCCTAATGAAATTGCCAACAGCAAACGAGTTGCAGAAATATGCGAAGAGTAAACAATTTGCTTTCAAACAAAATGGGAAAAATAATTATTTATACAGCAATTTAGGACTGCAACTCTGGCAATGGCAATAGCAATAGCAACAGCTACAGCCAAAATAAACAAGGAAAGACGGGGGGACGGACGTCGGTCAGGCCTAATTTATGTGAACGAAATGCCAAAAATTCCATTTGAGACAAAAGCCAGAGAACCAAAGAAACAAAAATTGAAAATGACAAATTGCATTAGGAGGGCTTTTCCGGGCGGGGTTTTCAAGCGCTTTTGGGAGTGGGAGTGTTGACCGCAAAAATGACAGCCCAAAGTGGGCACAGAGTGAGCAACAAATTCAGACCAGCTCGGTTATCCATTTATGGAGACAACGGCAACAATGTCGCACATATTCAAAAAGCAATTCTCGGCTAAAACTGGCTCACACACACACACATTAGTATTGAAACCGAAAACCAAAACCACAAGAACACATAGAAAAATTTAAAAACGAAATTCCAGACAAACAAAAAGCAGAACAACAAAACAAACAGTTAGCGAGGGCGAACCCATTTAAACCGATTTCCTAATCAAAGCCGTATTACTTCCCCCGGCCCAAAAAACCGCACATCCATACGTATACGTAATAAAAGCCCACATACCCCTATTTTCCACTCCTCACGTAAAAATGCAAAATTTAATTATGAGCCAGCGTTTTATTTTTTTTCCGTTGTCGCTGTCGACAACGCTGCGTGAAATATAATTAATTTGCTATTTTTAAAGCAGGAAAATGAGAAATTTGGCTGAAACACTGGCGCCAAAATAATTTCCAAGGGAAACGGACCATAACCCCTTGTTTTCCCTGGCGAATAACCACAGAAATTTCATTACATGTGTAAACAATATAGCCAACAAATTTGTTTTTTTTTATTTTCTTCTTTGTTGTTTTTTTTAAGAGGAATATTTAAAGAATGTGGAAGTAATTAAACTTATTGATAACGCTCCATGTAAGCACTAATGAGGGGTTAATAAATTGTTTGCTTACCTAGAGGAAAATTTGGAAACTTGACCAGGGGAAGTCAGGCTCAAGCAGCTTAAATCGAAACAATTCAATGGGAAAACCTGCATACGAATGCATTTAACTCGCCACTTTGCTGCAATTTGAATTGGCCATTGGCATTCGCTTTGACAATGCCACAAACACGTTGAATGGTCGAGGGGATCAGTGAAATAATGTACAATATTCCAGTTGGCAGCTGGAGGACAATATTCGGCAGTTCTTGACAGGGCTTTGGTCCTGCCAGGACTCACAGTCATGTCAATAAATTATGTACTGGATTTTCGCAAAGACACAAACACCAGGCTGTGTGTGCAGTTGAGGCCTTAGACGTTTGATTTATGTTCAATATGCGAGTTTAAATTTGAACTTTTGATGCAGACGAAACAAATGTGTGGCTGAGCCAAATAAAATCAAATCATACTTTCGCATTAAAAATGTACGCGGCAATATTAAGGGTCTCCACAGGAGTCGGCACATAAAAGGCGAACGTGTCTCTGTTTGCCAACGCTTTTATTTTTTTTCGCCAGTCAAAGTGAAGTGAAATTCCTGGCCAAATTGCCAGACTTTTTTCAAAACGTTAATGTTGATCCTGCGGCACGGCACTGGGTACAGCGAGAGTGTAGTGTCCTTTTAGGCAGCCCAGGAATGCGACACAGGGAAAATTACGTTGACAAATGAAAATGTCACAATGATGATAATTTATTTTCCCTTTTGTCGATTGCCTTTCCTCGGACCCAACTGTGTGCCACATTCCCCGGGCATTCCGGCTTTCATCTGCACTCCGCTCGACATCTGTGGCCCGAGCAATGCGCAATTAAAGGTAATATCCGACAATTGCGTTGGCGCCTTTTTTTGGGGGCTTTCCCACAGAGAATGAGCATCAGGCGATGGTTTAATAAATATAAGGTGTATCTAAGTTTGGCACTAAGATGTGTACCATAAAAGAAAATGTTTTATAGATTGCTACGAACTGACACTGTATGAAAATATCTTTCATTTATGCAAGGACATATAAAGTCTAGAAAAGAATGGATTTAGTTCTTGGTAAACAAAGAATATTTACTTACCACCTTAAGTTTAAAAGCTCTACATTGTTTTATAATATTAAAAACAAATTGTATCCATAAAATGTATGTGTTTAATGGTGTGTCAAACATATATTTAAAAAAAAATTTATTTACATACTATTTTATTTAAATTTGTATGCCTCACATATACATATATAAAATTCTTCGATTCATTTTTCTTGTATTTTATGATGAACTGTATTCCCAATATTATTTTCGGATATTGTATTTTCCATTTATACTTTTCCCCGCAAAGAAATTTAAAGCTTCCTGTGCAGATCCACCGATTTATCGACTTGTGCAGTCCATCCATCTTGCATACGCGGATGTGGTCCCGAAACCGAAACCGAAACCAGAGTATCCCAATCATCGTCGTCATCATCTCGGGTAATACTGTCTTTCCGGTTAAAGGGGGGAGGGGTAACTTTCCGCTTCATGAGCCTTATGCGCCTTATTCGCTCCTTACGCTTTCCACTCAATGGATTCGAGGGGAAAAGCGGGGTGGGGAAGGAGTCCTGGGTTGACGCGTTGTGCGCTATTAAACTTTTTGGCATGATATTTCGGGCCAGGACACACAGGCAGATACATACTTACTTGTCATATAATAAACTTTTATGTTAACGGCTTTTGATGTCTTACCAAAGCGCAAACAGGGTCCTGCCACACATGGCCCACTAGGATTCGTGGGGACAGCTGCCAGCTAGGCACTTAATGCCCATTCTTCTTGCCTTCAGTTTTTCCTGCCTTTTGCATTGCGGCTTTATTAGGCTGAAAAATGGAAAATGCCACACCCCCCCCTCTAAAAACAGTGGAGAAAACTTGCAATCCCCCGTAGGGCCACCTCCGAAAATTCCATTGTCTGTGGTCTTGTGCGTGTGGCCCATTAAAATTCCCAGGCTAAATGCATGAATGGCAACGGGAAGTATTTGCATAAATCTTACCAGGATTCCAAACAGCATGTGGTGGACCCAATCCAAACTCCCCATCCAAGGCAAAAATCAAAGACAAGTCGGGCTTTTGTTATACATATTTATCATTGGATGGTAATAACTAAAAAAACTTTATTGAAATTTTTCATACCGATTTCCATATTTACGTGGCTACGTCGCTTAAAAATTAAAAACAATTTCATAATCTTTATAATGCGTTGCCATTTTGTTTGCAACAAAAGTCAACAGAGTTTGGTTTTTTTTTTGTTTTTTTGGTTTTGTTTCCGTTTTCTGCTTTTCGGCTTCTGTAATAATACTCGCTATTTTTCCCCTTATTATGCTTATAACATACATATATTATTTTATTTGCTTAATTGCAATTATATTCATGGTTTTTTCTGTCTCGCTTATGGCAACATTAATTTACCCATTAAACATTCATTTACATGTCGCGACTAATTTTGCATGCGTTGGGTTTACATTTTTAATATCGATACATTCGTGTACGTATATAAATCCATATATTTATATGTATATATATATGACCGATTCGCGATGTCAGTGTGCATTTTTATGTGTGTTTTAATATGTAATGTATGACTACCACACAAATACTTGAGTACAGTTTATAGTTTATTCATATGGTATATATGCAGGTTTATTTACAATTTTGATCAGTTAAACCCAGCTCCTCACAGGCAATGGGTTCCCAATGTCCCGGGCATGGGCCATACATTTTTAAAAGTGCCACAGGACGAAGGAGTCTCGGGTCGATTTACCGGACAAAGTTCGCCAAGACAAACCCAACCTGAACACATTCGACTTCGACTTCGACCGCCTTGGCAAATGGAAATGCAAATATTTTGTTGACAAGAGTGAAAAGTGACTTGCCAGTTCTGTCTTCCCTTTTTCCTCCTATTTTTTCCGGAGGGGCAGGGCGTAAAAATGCAACCGGACATGCTGAAATGGGAGCTCTAAATTTCATTGGGCTCGAGCAGAGCTGGAGCAATGAACCCATTGCGAGGAGCATGTAAATGGGAACAGGAACTGCCCACATGACTTGGAGAAATTCTTCTAAATAAATTGTTAGCCCGGAAAGTCGCACTTCGAACTGAGTCGTGTTTTTGGCAGGAATTTCTCATGCATTCTCCGAGTTACCATAGATTATTGAGGCGAAGTGGACATGTAAATTTGTTCAAAAATTAGTTTAGGAACCTTCGAAGAAGTTCGTGTCGAAACAGTTAGCTACTTTGTATGTCTATATATTTACAATGCTTAAACTCTAGGCTATACAGGGTAACCCAAGCACAACACACACAAATCAAGAACGAATCCCTTTAATATGTACAACGATCTGAGTAAACATTCGCTACGTATATTCTTAAGTTTCTAGTCAGGGGTCTTTTGGGAATCAGTAGATATTCAAAAACAGAAGTTAAGGTGGCTGAGTACTATATACAAATTAAATTCTTTACTTACATTTCTAGAAACAAACTAGTTTATACCTTAGGTTTTTAAATCGAATTACATTTTTTTTTGGAAAACATCCTCAATACTTTTTTCCATATTTTCGATTTTATTTACTTTAATATTTCTTTAAACACCTAGCCATGGCTCTATAAGCAAACCACTTTAATATAGTTCTCTAATTTGATGATTCGTTCGAAATGCTTTCCATTTAGCTAAGTTCGCTAGTGTGCTGGCAATTTACGTGAGAAGTTTATGTACATGGCTCTGATTTCCGCCTAACTAACTAATCCCCAGCCCACTTAATTAGAAACACACTTACTTACAACTTGCGAAGGAGGAGCAGCGCCATCAGCACGGCGTCTTCCATCATTAGCATAATTAGTTGCTTTTTTTTTGTTGGTTTTTAGAAAGGTATTACATGCAGCTCAGGCGGAAGGACCTCAGATGCTGCTGCTGCTGCTCCCGTAAGTTCGCCTATAAATCATTTCTGCTGCATTTGGGGGCTGCATTGGCGGTGGAATTCCAACTGGGCGACATTAATTTATCACCGTGCAATGCGGCTGCCATTATTGACTCGCTCCTCGGACGTCGTCGAGATATCCTTGGGGTCAGCCTGTTGGCCTGGTCGCGGCTTCTCCTGTCTCTCACTCCTGATTCGAGTGGGTCCTCCTGCTCCTGCTCCTGCTCCCACACCCCTCCCCCCTGCAGGAGGAGGGAGGAGCAGGCCTCCAACAATACAAGTGCCGCCACCATTGTGCTAATTACCCTGACCGCCTGCGTGGCCTCTCCAAAGTGACAGGACCAACAGGCCAGGGCGACGGCCGCCGGTGCCGCGTTCGTTTGCATCGCCTCGGGTCGCTCGCCTGTCCGGGAAATGGAAACGGGAAATGGTGAATGGAAAATGGAAAATGGCAAATGGTTAGGGTGCTGTCGTGTCGTGGGGAGATGGCACAAGATTTGCGCTGAATGAGTAACAATTTGTAGTTTGTCTGCGTCACAAAAAGGTTCTACTTTCAGAAATGAAGTGGCCCCAAAAAGGCAGCTTACGGAGATTTGTTATGCCGACAAGGACAAAATATGTTTTAAAAAATTGCATACATTTTTTAACTCAAAAGGCCTGAACCCTCGTTAGTTATTTAGTTTTGTCAAGATAGAATACTAATTTAAAATCATCTGAGCCATATAATTTTTAAATTTTACTACTATTAATGTTTAAAGTAAAAAAGTTTTACTTTCCACCAAAAGATAAAAAACTAATGCTTAAAGTTTATATTGTTAACATGATAACCTTTAAAAGTGACGATCGGGAGCTTACTTAAAATAAAAACAAAACAATAAATATGTTAAAAATTTATTTATCAAATTTATTTTAGCCGAAAATCTTCAATTAGCTCGAAAACTTTGAAGTTGTAATTCCTTTAATGTATATTATATGCCTTTTCTAGGCCAACGATTTCCAAAAAATTGTAAACTAGAACAATTTGCTTTCTATGAACCTCTTCAAATTCACATTTTTTTGAGTGTACTTCTGTTGTGGCCACCAGTTCATAAATTGCGCAAAAGTTTGCCCAACAAAGAGAGAACGAGATGCAAGTTTAATGCATACAAATCGAGGTCAAGCAGATGCATGAATGTATAATCCACATTATCAAACTCGAGCATCCAATTAAGGCCTTAAAGAGAGAGCCTGACAGCGCACGTAAAAAAAGTCGGTTGAAAAAGGACACAAACTCACCCTGAAGGACATGGACGCGTATGCTGGCTATCTCCGTGTTCGAAGGATAACACGAGTATTTGCCGGAGTGCAGGAGATCCGCATCGTAAATGAGCAAAATGGATTTGGTCTCCTCCGACTTGATGGTCTTGAATTTCAGCCGACCGCCCGAAGTCTCCTCGCTGAGAACCTGGAGGGAAAAAAGCAATGGAGGTTGTCATATTAAAAGCGATTTTCCCTCGTTGCAAACAGCCAGGATGGTGAGTGCTAAGCTAAATGCAAAAGCATGTTTTCTCATAATCATAAAAGCCAAAATTAAATACGTTGCGTATACGACGCGTAAACAAACGCGAACAAACTCACACTCCCACACACTCAATTTCACTGGAAAGGCGCCAGTCGAGAGCTCATAAAAGTTAAAAACGTTTATCCCGCAGCAATTGGCTGGGCGTGGCACCGCCTCCTCAACCTTCCCCTCCCCCCTCGTCCACACACTTTGGCGTTTTTTACTGCGCACAAACTCAATTATTGCAAGATAATTTGGCACCGAAAAGGAAAACCTTAAATTGGGTTTTCCCCCCTAACACCCCTCGGTTTTGGCTTACTTTTCCCCTGTAAATTGATTTTAAGAGATATATTTACCTTATCCTGATGATACCAGAAGATATGGGTCGGCGGCTCCGGGCTGAACTTGATGATGCAAGTGAGATTTATGGTGCTGCCCTTGTCCACATACAGATCAGGTCCTCCCAAAATGGTGGCCGTGGGCACTGCGAATGGAAAGAGAGAGAGGGAGGGAAATATTACGGCAACCATTATGCAATGCACTCCGCATTCCCTTTATAAATCACAAAAATTCCCGAGCTCTCTGCTAATCACTGCGTTACGTCGCCTAATCAGGAAACCGTTCACAGCTCTCGTCTCTGACGAGTTGTGAAATTCCAAAATGGTTTGTTTTCCCAATTTCCAGCACATCGCCTGCAACCAGTGACATGTCACCCCACATCCCCCATCCCGCCCCCGGTCCCACCTTCCTGACCAGGCCAATCCGGTCCAACTCGGCTTTTGTTGCCAATTTCCATAGCTCGTAGTCGGAGCTGCCGTGCCAGTCAAAGTCAGCACGTTAAATAATCGATTACCGCCCATCAGGTGACCAGAGAACGGAAAGTTTGGAAAGGACAAAGCTGCACAAAGTTGAATGTGATTTTAAGATGGACTACAGCTTAATTTTGTGCTGCATTGAAAGTGAATCTACAATTTACAATTTAATTTTCTCATTGGGTGCTCACAAAGTTCTTGGGGTTTTTGTTGTTAGTTATTAAGCTTTAACATTGCAAGTAAAGGATATAAAATTATAATTGCCTACAAATTGATTCTAATATTAAAAGTATTTTAAAAATGCTTTTTGACAAAAGAACTATTAAGGAAATGTTAATACTATTTCTTTAAAACTTCATTAGTCAACACCAAAAAAAAGTTGCTTGCCACACTGAATTGTATGTCAAAATTAAATAATTTAGTTAGCAGTTTATATTATGTTACTTGTTATGTGTTGAAAAATTATAATAATATTTTTGTTCAATTTGTTTACCATTTGGCAATTTTGCAGTCCCGTTTTTTTTACGTAACTTCCATTGCACTTAAAAGTTTCTTCGTAGTTTTTAACTGAAATGCAACGATTGCAGTTGAGTTGTTTTCTGAGCCCTCTTTTGTTCCTCAGAACTATTTTGGCCATAGACTTTTGTGATGTGAAGTCCTGCCATGGCAAACGGCATATTGGATGTAATAACAACATGGTAAGGAAGTACTCTATGGTCTATACTCTATACTCTATTTGTTCAAAACCCATTTTCCTAAGATGTTCGAGGACAGCTGCCTGCGTTTCCATGATCTGGTTAATATGCAACTATTTAAGCAGTATCTGCTGGGTCTCCACAATGAATATCGCCAGGACGTGGCTAGCAGCTTGTTTGTTGACCTCCCACCTGCCCTAAAAATGCCGGAATTGGTGTGGGACGACTACCTGTCGGTGGTGGCTGAATATCACCTGAAACGCTGCGAAATGGAACTTCCCGATGACACCTGCCTGGCCACCGATGACTTTGCCGATCCCCATTTCAACTACGCCGAGGACTTCTATCCAAGGCCACTGGTTCGCCAATCAAACGTTAGGCAGATGACAATCCTATCGGAACAGTGGATGGATGAGCTCTTCGAAATGGACGACATTGGCTCGGAAAACGTGGAAAGCGAGATTGGAAATATTATAAACGACCAGAGCGCATATATGGGATGTGCCGCTGGCCGGGACTACGATCTGTGGAACATACACTTTATCCTCATCTGCTACTACAGCTCGGGACCTCCCAAAAAAGGAAACCTCTACGAAGAAGGCAATTTCAATGCCAGCCTTTGTCCCCACGGAAAAAGTGATGGATACCCCAACCTTTGCAAAACACTGACCCTGAATGACTAAGTCGCAGCATCTCCGGAAAAATAAATATTGCAAAGGCTTTGGGTATAATTAAATGTGCGAGCCACTTGGGCCATAAGTGGGAAAGGGGCAGTGATGAACTTTTGGATTCCCCTATAGCTTGATTTTAATTTTCTGGTAACTAAAAGTGCCCAAATTTGAGTAATAAATGTCGGTATTTCAATAAATTATAGAAGCCTGATCGTGAACCCATATAATACATTTATTTATAACGAAGACATTAAGAATGAAGTTTTTTAAATATATAAATTAAAGATTTTTTTTAAATAAAATTATAAAAAAATTTTGGAGGGAACATTCCTTTGTTTGGAAACATTTGCAAAGGGAACCTTTAAAAATATTTATTTTGCAGACCTTACAGAGTTTAGAAAATGCCAAATAATGAACCAATAATATTTTATAGAATAACATTTAACTAAAAATATTCTGTATTACAAAAAAATGTTAATTTGAAACAAACGAAAACAACAAAACTTTTCCATTTTATTGCAATTGCAAACATTGCTTTTGCCAATCTAGCAATTTAGTTTGGCTCTCAAATTGCGGCAACACTAGAGAAAAGAGACCGGAAAATTGCGAAAAGGTAGAAAATAATAGGTGGAGTAACAGTAACCGTAACAAGCTGGCAAAGTTAGTGGGTAAAAGGTAAAAGCTTGTTGGAAAGCAATTTGTTCGTCATGAGCCAGAAAAGTGCTCAGCCCGGGGCGCCCAGCACTTGACTCCGCAAACACCCGACTCCGCACCGCAACCGCAGCTGGCACGAAAAACGTTGTAAAATATTAAAAAATAATATGCATGCATGGCAGCCCTCGAGCCGAGCTCTCATCTCCGTCTGCCACCTTAGTTTTTCCTCTATTTTTGCAGCAGACTTGTCACTCAGCCAAAAAAGGCGGTCTGTCTGTCTACACTCTGAACCCATTTACCAACTCTACGACAGTTTGACTAACCCGCAACTGTCTGAATGGGTCCGAACATGCCGGCGAACTCATCATTGCCGGACTGATACACCCGATTCTCGGCTATATAGAAGGCGTCGTCGCTATAATACTGCTGCATCATATCGCTGGTCTCGGCGTCAATCAGATCTGCCCATCGAATCGTCGGCGTGGGGTAACCAAAAATAAAAACAAAGGGAAAGGAAAACAAATAATATATGAAACCAAAAATATATAAATAGAAATAGAAAATCGTTTAAATAATTATAATGGGCAAACCGCTAAACTAGCCAACTAAAGTACTCTGGCGGGCCTAAAAACAAAAATAGAATTTCACCGTCCATTTTAATTAAGGGGGTGAAGTCCACATGCTGAATAATGCATACGTAATTTGCTGGCTATTATTTTAAGAAAAAAACTTAAAGTTTTGTTCAATCCAATTGCGTTTCCAATCACGATTTCAAATTTGGTATTCTGGCTTTTTCCACTCCAGGCTCGCTTATCTGGTGAGGGGCTGTCTGTTGGTTTAGAAAAACCATAAAAATAATTCAACCAAAATATGGCCCCAGGATTAAAGTGGGAATGAATGTTTTGTCGGTAAAAATATATGGCTGCGAAATGTTTTTGTTTCGCAGTCAGCTTTCCTTTTTATCTACACCTTAATTCCTGTATAAATATGGTCTGTTGTCGATATCCGTTTATGTGTGCGTCATGGCTCACGTCAGTCCATCAATCTGCCCGAAAGAATTTGGGAAAATTCCTCTGTCATATTTACCGGCGAAGTCGCGACTCGCTTTTGTATCCTGCTGCGACGATTGCCAAGTGTGCATAATTTACACTCTTGAAAATTGCATGAATATGCAAAAACGATACAGAAAAATATGCGAAATTCCCCAAACAAACAGGTACCCCTGACAGAGGCTCTGAATTCTTTCGTATCTGCATGTGTATATTACGTTTAGCGAGCAGAACAGGAATATGTGTGGATTTTTAAATGCACTTTAAAAAATATTGCTTAATAGTGACTACATTTAATAAGAATCAAGTGACAAAATGTTGAATAGATATATTAAAAATAATATGAATAATTTGTATTTGTATGAAGTAAATCCTTAGCTCTTAAAGTCCCTTTAGTCCCTAAAATAAAAATATTAATTATCTGATAATTCTAAATGTGCAAAATTATATGACAGCTTTTAGATTCAAGTAATATGGCTAAAAGTGTAAATTGGGTTTTACATATCATCATTATTGCGATATATATAAATGACAAAATTAAAATGTTCAAAGCTCCTTTTTGATATTATCATTAAATGAAGGTATCATTTGTGTAACACTATGTTTATATTTTCAAATCAATATGTATTTGTAAGGTAAGAATATAATGCTTTCATTATTAAATATTACAGAAGCCATTTGATTTTCTTTTTGGTAAATATATTTTTATTGCCCAGATATTTTTTTCCGGTGTAGCTACTCACCCACGATGTTCAGGTTGACCGAATAGCTGCGCACGGGCTGCGTGGATATCTGGCATTCGTACACCCCGGCATCCCGCTGCTGGGCCCATTTGATCTGCAGGGTCCACTCGTCGATGTCCCGATGGTAGGAGGTCTGGAACCGCTGATCCGTCGTGTAGGTATAGGTGCCCACTGTGAGGATGTGCAGGTCGCGATGTCGTATCCAGGCGACCTGAGGAAAGGATGATGTTCATTAATTCTCGCTTCTGCGGACTTTAAAAAGGCCAGATTTAAATTTATTTGAGGGGTTTATTCGCCATCACAGAATAAGCAAAATTTATGCAGCTCACAGACTGAATTTTCATACAACTTGGAATTAGTGTGCGGAACGCATGACAGACCCGGAAAATGATACTCCCCATCCTGCGACATTCACTCGACATTGCCCACTACATTTGATACAAATTTTTGTCTGCCTCTATTTTTTCGTTTTATTATTTCGTTTCTAGTGGAGGCTCCTTGTTTATGCGGCTAACTGTCTAACCAATAACACACACAGACTGAAAGACCGAAAGACAGACAGAGAGGCAGCCAACTGTGTGGCATCCATCTGTGCAGTTCCACTTTCCTGCCTGCCCGCCTGTCTAATTCTGCAATAGCAGCAAGAAAAAGAGCCCAAAAAAAAAAACGAGGCAGCCCGAAAAAGTTGGAAAGTAAACTTTAGCCTGGGCTGGCCATAAATTTACTGTTGGCCAAAAACCGAGCGCGGCCAGTTAACTGGAGAATGTGAGTGTGTGTAGTTTACTGATTGCGGAAGCGGATTTGGCCTGGAGGAAATCTATGAGCCCCATGACCGTGGTGGCCAAATCGCTTAGCGTAATCAACGTTTTCGGGCCTGCCAGCACCTGCAAACTTTCCCAGAAAAATGGCAGCCGTGAATTTGGCAAATGCGTGCCAAATATATCCGCATTGTGTCTGCGGCAGAAACCATATATCCGCCCATACCGCCCCCTTTTGTTATGGCAACCAATTTAATTTTGATCGCTGAAATGCAACACTTTGTTTCGCACCCGAAACTTAAGGGCTAACAACTGGGATAGACTTTAATTGGGTCGGTTGGATCAAGTGACGCCATCCTAGGGAAAAAAAAGGGCAAAGTACGGAGTGGTCAGCATGTGTGTGTTTGTCGGCTGCTGTCACGTATTACATAATAAACTGGCAGCAAATTTAATAACACCACTGTGTCTGTGGCGGCCGTCTAAGTGGATATTTGGTGACACATTCGCCACACTTGCGGCCGCCCCATTTCGGAGCTCTTTGTTTATTAAATGTAAATAAAAATCAAGATTATTAATACGAAATGTTTCCGGCTGTTGTCTCCCTGTTGACTTTCCCTGCACTCAGGGAAATAGGTTAACCCAAAAATATGTTAACTGAATAAAACAAAAAATATAGTTCCTAAAAAACTAAATTAAACCAAAACCTTGCATTAACGGTGTATTTATTTCTGGGAGAAAATCTTACGTTCAAAAACTTTTGATGTGAATTGGTTAAAGATTTTAAATGAAATATACTATATAAAAGTCGATTTATTTTGTAATATTTTCTACTGTCTGTTAATAAGTAAATGTTGTATGTTTTTAAAACCCATTTTGTATCGTATAGATAAGACTTATAATTAATAATTAGGTTGTATGACTTTAATAATATTTTCTAGTGACTGCAAATAATATTATCTTATCTTATCTTATCGTATCATTTTTTATCTTATGAATTGGGCTATATAAAAATGTTGTATTCATTTTTGTAACATTTTTCTGGGATTTCGCATGTGTAGATTTAATGCGTCATCCCGGGACTCACCGTCTTATTGCCCAGATGCTTGACACGACAGCCCAGATATGCGGATTTGCCCACCAGCGATGTGATGTTCCTGGGCATGGTGAGATCAAAGTACGGCTCGTTCCACTTGTGGCCATGGGGATGGTGCGAGGGGGGTGCGTGGGTGGGCTTCGCCTCGGCGTTGTTGTGATTGTTGTTGCTCACCGACTGCCGCTGGTAGCACACGGCCAGCCCTGTAAAAATAAATGGAAGGAGACGGGATTTAAGAGAGCTATATGCCGCAGATATATAACCTCAAGTGCGAAAATCGCCTGCCATAATGGGACAGGCACCTGCCGCCAAGGACACACCCCCAATTTTTCTTGGCCGAAAAATAAAATTCGAGAGAAATAAAATAAAAGCCGCCGCGAACTGCACCTTAACGTGTACTTTAATTAAAGCGATGACACAACCCCCGTATTTTTTCCTGTTTTCGTTCGGTTTCATTTCACGCTTTTCTCCTCCCTTCAAATAAAAAAAGAGTCACTAAGTGGCCTTCGCCTGGCTGATTTTTCCAAGTGGCGACCATGTGGAGTGCCGGTTGATGTTGTTTAGTTAGTTGCTCGTATTGCGAAAACACAGTTGTTGTTTCATTTTCATTTATGGCCTGCTGGCAGGGGTTAATTTTCTAATTACTCGACGCGACGATGACTTTCTATGACTTCCCCGCCGGTATTTGTAAAACGGCAAAAGCAAAAAAGCTTTTATAGCCCACTCAAAACCATTCCCACCCATTCAAAACAAAAAAAAAAAAAAACAGAAGAGAAAACATAGAACCCTTTTACGGCAAAATAGTAAAACTGTAAAATTGCAAAAATTTCATTTCCGCCTAAAAGGAATCCAGCTGGCAAACAAAACAAACAAACAAACAACAATCTAAACGTACTCCCAAATGGCTCAGCTCATAAACTTTGCCATTTACAAAATTAAGTACGGGTAGGTGAGGAATCTTTAAAGTGGGTAAAAACCAAACCAAAATACCAATCAAAAATCACTGAGAATTATGAAAGAAATGCTTAAATAATATGTATGAGCACGATGGGTATGTAAAAATTCCATTTCTCTGGGAATCGATTCAAGTATTCGAGATGCACGCCGAAATGAAATTCTGCCACAAACCGAAACCCAAAAGGGAAAATTCGGAGCAGTTGGTGAAGGAAAAGCCTTTGGTTGGGAAATGCATTCAATGGTCACCTGTAATGGCATCAGTCAATGCTCATTTCGGGAACATGCACTTGGGAAAAATGTTTCCTTAATTGGTTGGCAATTTGGAAACTTGTATCTCATATTGAATTCTCTGTGTGAATCACCTACATGTCGTTTTAAATATTTAAGCTCGTGTCTGGTTTTTCATAAAGTCTTAAACAATTAACATGTATGAAATATTTGCCAATTTAAAAGGGGAAATATATATGAAAATAATGAACAGTTATTGTTTGTACTTTTTGTTTTTGTGTGGCAATTTCGATGAAATTCGGTTTGCTTGCCTTGCATCGCCATTCCGAGGGTCGTTTAGTTAGAACTTCAGTTTTCTGAAGCCAGCGACGGACCGCAGAACTTAAAGAGCTGCCAGCCAGAAGCCCTGCAAGCGCTTTTCAGGGTTTTCCACAGGGATTTCCACAGGGTTAAAGGAGGCGAAAGCGGGCAGGGGGGGATCCCCTCCGAGGCAAACACTGCAGAAGAGTGAATGCAAATAACAGTGCTGCATTGGCATGACGGGCATATGCGTATTGCTTTTATAAAACAGCAAATAGCAGGTGGGTTGGTGAGTACCCCAGTACTGCATCACTCCCTCTCCAAAAGTCCACAGATTGTTTGTACGGACTCGTTAGCCAGGCTTTTGTACTCGGCCCGCTTGAGCAACTCATTTATTCATGGCAGCAATTTGAGGGCGAACAAAAATGCTGCGGGCAAATCCGAAAATGGAAATAATTCAAAAAGCGGATTCATGACAAAAATCCAAGTGAAAGGTCAAGGTACAAGGTACAAGGAAGAACAATCGGAGTCGTAATCGAAATCGCAGCTTGTGCAATAAATATTAATGTGCAGGGATAGAATTAATTTTGGGGCAATAAATCAATTAGTGGGTCCGCAGGGAGTGGCCAACATCACGTATACGCCACCGACAAAAGCGAATCGTGGCCGTTGACAATCTATGATTGATTCGTTGTGCGGGTGCAGTGGCCCCAAGGTACCGGAAGGTCCATTCCTCCCCCTCGGTGTTCATTTGCATATATGCGCATACAACGAGTCCTTGGTCCCTTGGGACCTATAATGAATCATTCGAGCGGCTGCTCGGCGCTCATTTTACGCAAAATTAGCCTCGGCATCCGCCGCAGACATTGCAGCTTTGCCTGATGATGGCAAAACAATTGGACCCAGGTACACACGATAACGATGACGATTACGGTTACGATGGCGGGACCTTGGAAGGGAATTTCAACTTCGGCCCCAGCCACGGACACAAAACTACGGCAACAATGGCAAACGGGCGGGGGAAACAGGGCAAGGACCATAAAACGCTTAGTCCTGGCCAGGATTACGAATGCATGCATGTGTGTGGGCTGTCTGTTTAATGGTCTTAAATATTTATAAAGCAAGCACTGGGCAACCGCAGCAGCAAACGTCGAGCTGCCCGAAGGGTTAACGATTAATTGAAACAAAGTCGAGCTACTCCTGCGGCGCCTGGATAAATATGGATGGGGTCAACGCATTATTGGTGGAGGATTGGGTCGGTAGGCTACATTAAATATATTTGAGGAATTGCGGTCGCTTCAGGGAGGTCTGGTTAAACGATCTGTCATTAAATATAGGGGTAATTAGCTTTATTAATTAAATATTGTCGTTCTGAGAAGGTTTATCGGAAAATACAATAATGAAATTAATAAAAAGAAAGATTAATTATCATAGAAAACATTAAGGTTATTTTTAGGTAAGCATGAAACCAAAGGCATTTATTATTTTTGTTATCGTAGTTTTAATTCTTTTTATTTCACTTTATTTTAATTTTATATTAGCGTGCTTTTTACAATGTCACTCTGTTTCTCTGTTTTATCGTAAAATGACCGTTCTCTGATATTCACGTTATCCTTAGCCTTTTGCAATATTAGTTTTACTTAATTCTATATCAAATCGGAACAGCGGGATTGGTACATAAATGTGGATGTTGGTACTTAATTAATATAACTTAGAAATAGCTATAGACATGTTAATCACATCATCATACACTGCTTACAGCTCGGCCATCCTGACAATTAGATCGTCCTCGATCGTGGGTTTCTAGTTTATATAAGTATTATTAAAATGTTCTTACGTTTAGTAAAATAAATATAAATATAAATAATTTGTAAAGAATAAGTTAAGTTGTAAAATTTTGGTTAATAATTTAGATATTAATTGTTTAAATATATATAGGTTAGCTTAACATTTATTAGGAGTTAATTTCACACTGATTACGCCAATCTGCCCATTTTCGTAACCGACATGCTTCTACAATTCCATCATAGGGAATTTGACTAATTTGACAATTTTCAATATCAGTTATAACATATCTATCGTTTGGCAAAATTCTTTTAACGACGTATGGTCCTTTGTACTTCGGTACAAATTTTTTATTTGTACCAATTGTGGTGTCAATGTTTCTCATTACAACAAAATCGCCTTCTTCGAATTCTACATGACTTTTGTGATTTTTCTGATAATATTCCTTGCTTCTTTTCTGAGACTGTTCTATTTTATCTGAAGAATTCTTACGGACATTTCCTAAATCGCACTGTGGTCTATCATTTCTATCATCTAAATATTCTGTCAATGCGTCAATATTACACCCTCTCTGCTGAACTCCAAATAATAATACTGATGGTAATTCCTTCGTCGTTGAATGTACTGAATTATTAATGGCATATTCGGCCTTAACCAGTAGTTTGCTCCAATCCTCGTGCTTTATTGGTTCAGTTATCTTAGCTAACATTGCTTTCACTGTTCTATTTACTCTTTCCACCTGACCGTTCGCTTGAGGTGACGCAGTTGCTACTTTAACGTGTTCAATATTATTTTCTAATAAAAAGTTGGCAAACTCTAATGAAGTAAAACACGTACCCCTATCACTTATAATTCTACGTGGTCGACTGTAATATTGAAAATATTTCGAAAAACACGTATTGACTTCTTTCGTACTCGTTGAATTTACAGGAAACAATTTAACAAATTTGGTAAATCCGTCAATAATCACTAACAAATGTTTCTTTTTCGATATAACTGAGGGCAATGGTCCAAAATGGTCTACATGTAATGTATCAAAAGGAATTGGTCGCTTGGGTATATTATGTAGGGTTCGATTATTCGCATGTGTAGGTACTGTAAACATGATACAATTCAAACAATTGCCAATAAATGCCTCTATTTTAGATTTCATGTTCGGAAACCAATAATGTCTCAATATTTCCTTCAAACATTTTTCAGTACCTAAATGACATAAATTTTCATGGACTCTCCTAATTATATGGGATTCCATTTCAACTGGTACATATAACAATTCAATATCTTTCTCACCTAATCTGTAAACTATTCCATCGTTCAATATAAAATTTTTCACATTTCCATGTTCTAATTGTTCTTTCAGTTTTACTATAAGATTATCCCTATTTTGCGTTATCTGAAGCTGAAGATTGATGTCGTCATTGTCAATTACTGAAACTATTTGGTCTTTGTTGTCACTTTCTTGGATATTCAATACTGGTTCATATTCAAAATTTTCATTTAAGGCTGAAGGGTATCTACTCAATGTATCAACATGATTCATATATTTTCCACTACGATGCTTAAGTGTATAATTATAATTCGCCAATTCTAAAGCCCATCTGGCAATACTTGAATTAAGGCGTCCTTTCCCTAGACATAAAACTACTGCATTACAATCTGTTACTATGTTAAATGGAATTCCTTCTAGGTATATTCTAAATTTTCGTAATGAGTAAACCACAGCTAGTGTTTCCAATTTAAAGCTTTCATATCTTGCCTCTAGTTTTGTTGTTCTCTGTGAAAAATAAGCTATTGGATGGAACTTGTTATCATCCTGTTTTTGTAATAAGATTCCACCAAATCCCTCGCTACTTGCGTCGCAATGCAATTCCGTTTCTCGATTTGGATTGTACAAAGATAATATAGGGAATGAAATTAATTTCTCACGAAGATATTCAAAAATATTGATACAATTCTCATTGAGTTCATACTTAACACCTGCTTTTGTGAGCTCCTGCAATGGCTTTGCTATTTTTGAGTACGCCGGAATAAATCTTCTAAAGTAAGAAAATAGTCCTAAACATTTCTGCATTCCATGGCGATCTTTTGGTATCGGAAGATGTTTAATAGTTGATGTATGCTCGTTATTCGGACTTATCCCTTTTTCACTGAGTGTGTATCCTAAAAATTCAATACTTTTGTAAGCGAACTGGCATTTATTTATTTTAATTTCCAATCGATATGCTGCTAAAATTCTTAATACTCTTCCTACCGTCTTAAAATGTTCATTCAATGTCTTCGAACCTATAGCAATATCGTCTATGTAAACTACTACATTTCCTTCGCGGATCAAAGGTTGCAGAATAAAACAAGAGAGAACGCTATAGTCGGGTGCCCCGACTATCAGATACCCGTTACTCAGGTATAGGGAGTGCGAGGGAGATGGAGATAGAAACTTTGATCACGCATAACTTTTTAACGAATGGTCCGATTTGAAAAATTTCTTCAACATTTCGATAGGTATTGATAAACACAACAAAACTGCATTTTTACTTTTCCGAAATATTTAAATTTTTAAAATCGTATATAAGCGATTGTGGGCGTTAAAGGGGGCGTGGCACCTTTTTGAAACAAACTTGCGCTGCGTAGGAACTCCTAGAATCTGCATGCAAAATGCCTATATTCTAGCTTTTATAGTTTCCGAGATCTCAGCGTTCATACGGACGGACAGACAGACGGACAGACAGACGGATAGACGGACAGACGGACAGACGGACAGACGGACATGGCTATATCGACTCGGCTAGTGACCCTGATCAAGAATATATATACTTTATAGGGTCGGAAACGCTTCCTTCTAGCTGTTACATACTTTTGCACGAATACAATATACCCTTTTACTCTACGAGTAACGGGTATAATTAATAAATCTCATGAATACCGCAGGTGCATTCATGAGTCCGAAAGGCATTCTTGTGTATTCATACTGTCCGGAAGGTGTTACAAAAGCTGTATATTGCACTGAACTTTCTGCTACTTTCACTTGGTGGTATCCACTTTTCAAATCTAAAAGTGTGAAGTATTGATTTCCTTCTAAACGCTCTAAACAGTCATCTATAAGGGGAAGCGGGTATCCATCACGAATGGTTATCTTATTAAGTTGCCTATAATCTACGCACATGCGCTTTTCCCCAGATTTCTTCTTAACAAGTACAATAGCAGAACTATAGGGCGAATTGCTTTCTCTTATAAATCCTTTTTTCAATAATTCGTCAACTTTAAAATCTACTTCTTTCTTTTCCTGATATGAAAGTCTTCTTGGAACAGAACGTACAGGTTCTTCTGACTTTAGTCTTAACCTCATTTCGTAACTATGTTGAATCGCTGGGATGTTAGATAAACATAAATAATTCAATCTTATTATTTCACTGAGCTCACTCCGATCTCTATCACTCAACTTTGGGTCAATGTCAAAACTTTCATCATCCTTAAATACATCTATACTATATATCTCTGGTGTGCTGTTATCACTATCAATTTCACTTTCTTCACATAAGTCTTCAAAACTTCTACTGTCTATCAATTGATCACTGTCTCGATATGTTTCACTGTTCACTAATCTATTCAATGGTTCACTATTCTCTAAAATATTCAATGGTTCACTATTCTCTAAAATATTCAATGGTTCACTATTCACTAATCTATTCAATTCAATAATTTCTTTTACTTTATACTTAGAAATCAATTTTATTCCAAATTTTTCCAAAAACTTACGCCCTAAAAGAACATTAGTTGCAACATAGTTGTTGGGTACAACATCTTCTATGTTTTGAAAAACGAGCTTAACAAATATTTTTCCGAAAGTTTTAATCTTAAATCCATTAACTCCACAATAGTCAGTCGGAAACAATACATCGCTAATGTTTTTATAAGGAATGGCAGCGTGTTGAATTAAATTAATGGCGCTACCCGTATCGAACATGGCAGAAAGGAAGGTTACATTAGGCTTCATTTGACAATCAGTGTAAAAATATACTCCTACCTGGTTAATAATCGGAATAAACATATTTGGCTCCTCTTCGTCATCCCGTATCGGCTGGTTGTTGGCTGCTCCCACCATTTTTGGGTTACTTGCTGGCTTCTGTTGGCAGTCCTTTAGCATGTGCTGGAGCGATCCACAGCGGAAGCAGGAATTCTTCTCGCGCTTCGGCGCAGTGCACGACGAAGCGTAATGCCCATAAGCGGAACAATTGTAGCAACGGATTGTGTTCCGATCTTTTCTAGTGTTTTCTGAGCGGAGGGAAAAATGTTGGGACTTCTTTGTTAGATTTTCATACTTCCGTGCCAACTCCTTCAATTTTTCGATTGTTGTTGCTGTGTACAATAGGGCGATATTGGCTGAACGATCGCGAAAACCATCAATTATAAGCTGAACTGTCAATTTTTCTTCGATGCTAGCACGCATAGCAATTTCCTCCATAAGAAGTATGTATCCCATAACAGTGTTTTTCAGCGGGTTGAAAATGGTCTCCTTTAACAGCAATACGATGTCAGCAGTTGAACTACCACGACCAAATGTTTTTATAAAGTTCTCTTTAAATGCGTCATAAGTATTCGATTGGTCAACACGCAAGAACAAGTCGGCATCTGTTCCCGGTTTCATCAGCATTCGTACGCAGCGTAATTGGAAATTTTTACACTCGTTAACATCTCTGCAGATTCTCTCAAAATCCAAAATCCACTTAAAGGCTTCCTCATTTTCAGTGGCAGAAAACGGAATCATGAGCTGTTTCACCATACGAATGTCATCTGTAGTCTTGCTGTCGTTTCGCATTAATTCGGCCAGTATCTTCTTCTTCTTAGCTACCCTTATGGCGGCGTCAAGTAGTGCTTCTTCTTCTTCTAATTCGTCGATGTCTTCGCTAGCGCTCCGCTGGCTTACAACCTCAATTTTGGCATCTTCTTCCTCCAATAGGCTTTCTGGGATATTAGCCGCATCCTGGCAACCGGCATCCAATGCAAGCTTGCGCAGTTGTCTTAAAGTTGCACTTCCTGGAAACCTGATTTCATTGGCTTGAAGCCACTCTACAATGTTCGCCTTGTCCATTCCAATTTGGCGTCACTCGCCAAAACGCAATTATAGGAAAAAAAACTTGTGCGTCTTCGGATAGCCAACAATGTTTATGTAGGCGGATGTTTAAATGGTGTCTATCCCACTTCTGAAGTTGTTATCGTAGTTTTAATTCTTTTTATTTCACTTTATTTTAATTTTATATTAGCGTGCTTTTTACAATGTCACTCTGTTTCTCTGTTTTATCGTAAAATGACCGTTCTCTGATATTCACGTTATCCTTAGCCTTTTGCAATATTAGTTTTACTTAATTCTATATCAAATCGGAACAGCGGGATTGGTACATAAATGTGGATGTTGGTACTTAATTAATATAACTTAGAAATAGCTATAGACATGTTAATCACATCATCATACACTGCTTACATTTTATATACTATTCAGTACTTTTATGTTTCATGAGATTTTCTATAGCAGATGTAGTGCGATTAAAAATTACATCACGAGGGTTTTTTAAAGCTGTAACTTGGAGAAAATGAGATGTAATTCTGAGCTATGCACTTATTCTTATTAATTTTAAAACGAAAATCGTGCAAAAATAAATGTTACAAGTTTTGAAAGCTAATAAATTAAATATATTGTTACAACGAAAGACATTTCTAAATTTAAATAATTTTTTGCAGACTCTTGGAGAGCCAACGGTATTTGTTTATGTTAAGTATTTTTCTCTTAAAAAGGGCAGACTTTTCCATAAAGAGGGCAAAGTGTCAGCACCGTTCAGCACCCAACTTCAGTAGCACCCGACCTCAACTCTCAACAGAAAGCAAATCCTGACAGACCGAACGAGCCAAATGCGAGTATGAAAGGCGTGCTCATCGTGGCGTGGCAGACGAGACTTTTGTTGGTCCTCCGTCTCCTTGCGCCGTGCAGAATGTTACCTCAATTAAAGATAAGTATCAAAGTGCATAGTAATCAGGAGGCAGCCAGCCGAGCGACGGGCCAATGAGCAGCACACGGCCTGGGGCTGATGCCGGGGTAAACACGGCGGAGAGTGCCTGTCAAAATGATTGTCTTACATGCATTACCCTCCATCCTGGAAGCCCCATCACTCAACCATTTTATGTGGGGAGGCGCACCTGGCGTATGCGCAATTTTTACCTGCCTGCGAGCTTCTCGGTTACTTGTTACTTATTTTCCCCGCTCTCTGCACTCCAAACTTTTTTGTTGCACATCGTTTTTCACAACAGCCACAAAATGTAAAATTTTTGCGCCATTTTTACTGCAATTTATGCACATTGGCAGGGCGGGAAAAAAGGGAGAACAAGGGAAAAACGGGAGGAAAACGAATCCGAAATCCCAGTCCTGCCGGGTACGGCCCTCTTTGGTCATTGCTTGTTAACACACCCAATGGGAGTTATTAATGTTTGCGGCGCTTTATTTACGGCTGCCAGGACTCCGGCCGTATTCAGCCTGCCCAGCGAGTCGATTTTTTACGGCTCCCGGCGGCGGTAGCCCAAGGATTCGAAGGATTCGCTGACAGGCAGCGAAACTTCACCGCCCACCCCCCGCTTTGCAGTTGATTTAAATTTGGTGTAGTTAATTTTTAACCCAATTTTTTACTCAGCGATTTTTTTATTTATGTGCACCGCCCTTTTAATGTTGCAACATTTTATTGCCGGGCGCCATGAAAAAAGTGGCAGGCTTAAAGGATTCAATTGCCTGAACAGTCGTTGATGGCGAATATTTTTAGGAGGGTTAACAGCGAGCGAGAGTTCTATCTAGGTTTATATCCGTACTTTATGTTCATAAACTTTTGGGGAGTGCCTTCTTCCGTCATTTTTAATCAGTTGAAACCTTTAACAAACATTTAATTCCACTTGCCTCGGCTCGTGCTGAACTTTTGCAACCCGACTTGTCACATTTTCCTCTTGACTGTGGAAAGTTTGCGACTTCAATTTCTTGCCATGTTTCTCTCTGTGTCATTTGCAAATCAAATTGTAATTGAAGAACTTGGGTAAGTTTTCCCCCTCACCGTTTCCCTTCCCATTTGCCGTTCAACAATGTCGGAATGTCTTGAGCAGTAAAATATTGTTGGGAAAATTCTCGGAGGGGCTGTGCGTGTGCATGAGGCCTGTGGCATATCGAATTTTGATTTTAATCCCGCCTGCATTTGTATGCAAATGTAGACAGAAACCGAAACTGAATTGGAATGATTCTTTTCAATTTGATGTTCAATGTTTGATTTGGCTTATTGGAATATATAGACTATTTCACTTCGAAAAGGGTTCAAAAGGGTTCAATTCGGCCCTTTAACGGATGTATGTCAATTGGTTAATACAGAAAATCAATAGGAAAAGCTTTTCCGGGAAGCATTATGGTCGTCTGATTAAAAATGCATAATTGCCATGCTAAAGTCCACAGCAGAAGACCAAGAACGCCATAGGAACCGTCACGCATTGTCTACTTAATATATACACATGTTGTTTACAGTACGGAATATGATTATATAGTTGGCTAAATAATTAAATACAAATTGATAAGGGTTTATTTAGTCATATATTATTGAAAGAAATAACATAGTTATCTTTATATATTTTCCATATTTACTAATTACTACTTCAAACTGAGGCCCTTGAATTCCAACTGTTGTCAGGTTTTTTATGAAAGGTAATCAATTTTTTAGTCATATTTATTTGTAGCATTCAAATTATTGTATTTGAAACGTTTAAGACTGACATATACCTTGGATATTCTTTGATATAAAAGATAAAACTATAAGTCCAAGAAAAACTTTTGTTTAATCAGAAAATATATTAATACCATAAGCCTGAATACAGTTTAAAATTTTAAGGAATGTATTAAAATAGAGGAATTTAGATTGCATTTTTGAGATGGAATTTTCTTTGAGAGCTTCCTACTGTAATGCGTTTTGCATTTCTGGGTAGGACTGTATCCACCTACCAGTTGATGGCGACGTGAATGACCAACCTGACATGCAAATGGCGGTGCACTTTCCCGATGTGCCGTCTTTAGCCCACAAAGTCCACTTCTCTAGCTTCGTGCACTTTATTGCATGTTGGCCAGACTCGAGATGGGTTTGCCATAACTCATATTTCAGCCGGGCTGATGTTTATATGCATTTGTCGTGGTGTTTATTTAAGCAATTATGGTTATTCAGCCATGTCATTTGGCAGGAGGGGTCTGAAATGCTAATTAGATTCCGCTGTTGGCGGAGCATGAAAGCGGTGGATTCAGGAGGACATCTATTAAATGGCCATGAGTTGAAAAACGAAAAAACGAAATTTATTTGCCTGACACGCAACATCAACTGTCAATTAATACTGTTTGGCAAAATATTGTTATGCTTTCAATAAAACTTCAATCGGACTGCATAAGCGGCTAATAAATTTCAATGGCGACCGAAGCCGAGGCCGCTAATCGCATTATGTGAAAACATTCTTTGTTTGTTTTCCATTTAACAAGTCTCGGCTGAAAAAAAAAAAAACAAAATGTTCGTCGCGGCATGAGGATTCGGAGGGAATATTTTTTTAACAAAAATATTTGCGCAATTCACAGATCAAAAGAGAGCAAAGTTTTTATTTTTGGGAGTGGAGTGGAGATTTTCTGTTTGATGTTGTTCAGAGGCGGAAATTGCACAAATTGTAAAGCGCCACTTTCCGGCTATTTTGCTCGGACCATCTATCGCTCTCTTTCTTTTTGGCTATATCTGCCTCTATCTATTTGTGCATGTGGGATGTGTAAGTGATGTGTTGTGGCATCCAATGGCCAGGCGTTAATTGAATTATGTTTGCCGCACAATTGGCCGCTGCAAGTGCAACAAAATTAAGAGTGACCTCTGGACATGTTTGATCATTGGTTTAGAAGGTAAAAAATGTTCAAAAAAAAAAATATATATACGTATAGAAAATAATATTGATCCACCTGCCGTTGAAATGACTGTACAATCGAAGCAAATTGTATGCTCAAATGAGCTGAATAAATAACCATTGAAATTGGCAAATAAATTAAATCAGCTGGAATCACATTTCAAACGAATCAATTAAATCACAAATTAATCGAAATATATTCCCGCATAGAAAAATCATGCCAGGGAATTTTTATAAATTAAAAAACAATACAAAAAGTTAAAAGGATACAAAGAGGATTGTGTGGTAATGCAATCAAATAGGTTAAAGGAATCAAAAAGCTTAAATTTAAGGCACAAAAAACTAATGTATAGTGTTATTCTATTATTATAAGCCCTTCATGATGAGTGGATCATGTGAATCGCATACGAAGGCCTTAAACCACCGACAATTTGACTGCTTGACATTTGCGCAACCTTTATCGGGTTGTTTCGATCGCTGTTTTATTCATATCCCTGATGACCCGCACATAAGCAGTCCGAGGAGCTCATTACAAACAATCAAAAGGCAATAGGCGGTGGCCAAAAATTACACAGACCACAGGGCTCATAGTTGGGGCCATAAAAGCAAATAGGTCCGAAAGCCCACACTATAACCCACACACACGCATGTGAAGAGAGTGCCAAAAATAAATGAAACACTAAAACTTAATTTGGTGTTTATGTCGGAAAGAGACGGAAATCGCAGGACGAACCCTAATGACAACTGGCCCCGTTGTCTAGGTCCTTCGAGGATTAATAAAGCAAGTTCCTGGCCAAAGGGACCGCTAATGAACTGTGCCGTTAAGATCCTGTCTATGAACTTGAGCCGGCCAACGGGGCGTATGTGTGATGGCTGTCGTCTGTTGTGTGCTGTGTTGTGTGTTTTTGCTCCTCGTATAAATTATTTGCGCAAACAGAGCAAACATTTGGCGCTGATTGCCAAATGCCTTTGGCAATTGTTTTCGGTTGTCCTCGCCAGCCTCGGAGCCACATAAAAAATAATGAAGAAAAATAACTTAAAGCGACGGACTATAAAATAAATGATCCGGCAATGGGATCCTTCGTGTCCAAACCCCCACCCCCTTTTCGCTCCACATTGTGTGCATAAATTGTGTGGAAATTTGTGGGCAGCCAAGCCAGTATGGCCTGCGGTCATATAATACATAAACAAAGCATATATCCGTTCCGTTTGCATATCGCTATATAGCCTGGCAAATTTGTCGGTCATTTGCATTTGACTTGACACAAGACGCCGGGCACAAGAAACCCAGGCCCAGTCCCATTCCTGTCCAAAGTTTTACTAGCCCATTTATTATGCTCCATGTATGACATTTTGGTGCTTCAAAGGGGGAGAGGGGTAAGGAGTTGTCTCCAAATCCCCGGCTAAGCATTTGCGGCAGTGTTTGGGGAATTCCCCAAGACCCAAACCCCCCCCATTCAAGGAGAAATAAATCAAAGCCTGCTTTGCCATTTTATTGGAATTGTTGGCAAAATTGTATTTCCCCCACGCCAAAGTGATCAAATGGATTTGTATTTTTAGCGCAAATTGCATAAATCAAAAGTTTCGCTTTGTCAATTTTGTTTTTATATTTTGCGCTCTTGTTGCCATTTCTTTTGGTCAAAGTTTTGATTGCCTTTTACGATGTTTTCATGTCCAAGGCAAAGTCCGTGGCCAGACTTTGCATGCCATGGCGAACAACTTCAAACACACTCAAAAGCGGAAAGAATGGGATTTTGCATGTTTCGCCGTCTGTAAGCCGCTTTGTGACTTATGAATCATAATTAAATAAATTTCCATTTAGCCTGTTGACACATCTGAGTGCTCATTAAACAGTCAAACGACCAGCACTAAATCAGGCCAGCTTTGTTTATATTGTTCGTCCTCTTACCAATAGCACACGCTTTCATAATTTATGCTCGCTTCCAACTAATATCATATTAACTTGTTTAAATTCAGCCACAATTTATGCAACGCATAGACCTCCTTTGGGCCATAAATTGGCGCTTTCATTTTGTCCGGGCCATCAAATCATTTTCAACAATCAAATTTGTGAAGCGTTCAGGGACGCACAGTCCATACAAATTTCTATGCCACCAGCAAATGGGCGTGTGTTTTGATTCCAAAATCACTGAATATAAATATTTAATACGTCATATACTATCACGCGGAAAGCTTTAAGACCTGATAAACATTTAACGGCAATGTTTAATCATTCTTTTGAGAAAAGCAAGGCAATTTATTAATAATTTTCTATATATTTTAAGACATTTTATAAATAGCAATTGGGAAAATATTTTCGGAAATGCTCACCACTTTTTATATTCCAAGGAGCTTAAATTTTCTTCAAGTTAAAAGCGTTACCATACTTTGACATGCAATATTAAACCCGTAAAATAAATGGCACCCTATAAAAACCCAACATCCATCAAAACCCGAAACCCTACATCGTTGTCCTAGTAGGAGAATAATTTATTTGACTCTAACCACTGACATAACTTTGTACATTATTTTATTTATGCGTGTATTTATGCTTTTATGAGCCGCGTGAAATATGTTGTTGGCCATGTTAGTTTTACACGCATTTAATGAGGGCCAAAAACAACAGCAAAAACGACACTTTAGTGATTTTCATATTCCGGTTATTCGGGCAAAATGAACAACAGAAAATGCACTAAAAAGTAATTAGCACAAAAAATAGAGATATAAAAAGATATATATATATGTACATTTTCAGCTTGATAAGTATATAATGGTCGCTTTTGGAGGTGCTGGAAACTAATTCCAGTTGAATTTTAATTAAGCCATAATGAATGTGGCCAGCATTAGTACGAAATTAATTATCGCGACGAAAAAAATGAACAAAAATGTTGCCTATTTTTCTCGCCTGACTTAAATGAGCCTCGGATTTGACAAAGTAACGGCATATTAAACGCGGTCCTCATCGCGGATGGACACTAAAAATAAAGCAGAGCCAAGGAAAACATTTTCTTTTCAGCCCGTCGAGGCGGCATTATTAATAGGCACTTAGGTATTTGAGGGCCGGGGAGGGGATGGCGTTCTCTATATTACGAGCTGATGAAGACACGTTTTTACATTTTGTATATTGACGTTAAAATTAGATGCCAACTTGTCGTCGTCTCGTTTGCTTTTTTTTCCCGACCCAAACAACGCGTATCATATTTTAGTTGCTGATGAAGATGATGATGATGATGATGGGGGAGGCGAAGTGTGGCTAAATGTGTGTAAGTAGCTGAGTTGTGGATTCAGCCATTTTATATCTTTTTTTTGGTGTCCAAACAAAGTTTAGAGGCCAACTTATTATGCAAATATAGTTATTAAACATTTAATATGTGCTTTTTGAGAAAACAAATCGGGCTTGCGGTGGAAGCCATTTAAGAGAGTTTTTCTGGATTTTAAAGCTTTAAATTTTATATTAAAGATAGAATTTAATGTTTCAAAGAAAAATAAAACTAACATTTGCATTGCAATTACTCATTACTTTAAATATTAAAAAATTAAAAGGCCCAAACGCCCTTTTAATCGATTGTAAATTTGTTTCTAGCAAATTTAACTAATTTCAAATTGGTTTTTTATCAAAATATATCAATTTTAAATATACAAACTGCTTTGCAAACTTATACTTAAGAACTGTTTATTTTTGGGAATAAATAATTACATTTTATTAAAAATTATAAATCTTTATTGATTATCAATAATTTACTATCTGATGGATAATGAAGTTGTAAAAATAGAAAGCTTAGCTTGTTACTAAAATCTCTCTCTGAAAACCCAATTAAACTTTCTTTTCAATTTTAAAATTTGATTAATTTTTTTTTTGACATTTCGGCTTTTTTGGTACTTCATATAATGCCATCACTGCTTTTTCAGGTGTCTGTGCTAATGCGGCTGCTGTGAGATGATATATGACCGCCACGCACTGTGCCACAAATCAACATGTTAAATAGACTGTGAGTGCTCCTACGCCCACTCCAACCCTTTGGCAGAGTGTTATTTTTAGCACTACTACAGCCTCCAAAAAGTTTTCACCTTATTGCCCTCCTCCATCGGCTGCTCCTGGTATTTCTCACCAGCCTTGCAAAGGGATGGATATTTGGGGTCAGAGCCCGACTGGCAGCCGATGGCTTTCTCCCGGTAAACAGGCCAGTCGGGGATATAATTGCTGGCGTAATTGCAGGCCAGCAGAAATTGAGGACTGCCCACGGGCTTCTCGAATTTCAAGGCGGCACAGCCCACGAAAGTGTTGTTGTCACGGGCCATAACAGCAAAGTTGGCAATGGATCTGATTAAGAAAACAATAATATAAGAAAAAGAAAGAAACCCCTGTAAAACCAAACCCACTCAGCCAATTTTCCCTTGGGAAAACGATGCATTTGCTCCTTTGTAATATGGGCACTCTGATTCCACCAACCTCCAATGGACTCTTTTATCAGACATTCATCCGAGTGATTTCCTTCTCCCTTTAGCAAGTTTAGATCTACCAGTGCCAGATTTTGGCCAGAGTTACGAAAATCAGGGGTATTGTGGCAAGGATCATACTTCAAAATGCACTGCTTCACATTCAGTGTGGCCAGATCCTCCAGTTCGGAATGCCACTGCAGTGTGGCCATGCGATCGGGTTGAGGTAAATTCGAGGCTTTGCCAGCAGCAAGGACATTTCGCAAGGCATTGTGCTCGTTCAGGATCAGATCATGCAGACCACTAAGATTTACCAACTCGGCTCCGGCAGGACACTGTTTGCTAAACTCCTAGAGGGAATAATCAAAGATTTGATCATATGTCCTCAAAACAAGGGGGAAACTTACTCCTTTGTTCCTGCAGGCAATATGCTTTTTCGTAAAGTGACATAAACCACTCTGACAGTAGTCCGTGGGCGTATCGGAGGTGTTATCCTGGCAGTACACAACCTGCAGGATGCCGCAGAGAATGAGGGCCGCTACCAACACTGTAGACATGCTGCTGATTCGGTCTTTGACTGCTCGTTTGCCAGCCAAGCTCCCCTTTTATACTGCCCAGAAGTCGGGCAATATCGGGGACAACTGTTTCCCAATCGGGCCACTTGCCACAGCTGTTTTTGCCCCAGCAACTTGATTCAAACTGAAAATGGGACTTAGCCGGGCCAACACAAACACAGCCAGCCGTCCGTAAATGACCAAGCTAAGAGCTGGCTGTTGCCAAATGGGATGACACCTGCTTCGATCCTATCAATGCCAGGTGCACAGGCACCTCCTGCCGCCCACCGACTTATGCCACTTGACATATTATCCCACTTGGAATCCAAAAAAAAAAGTGGAAAAAACATAGAAGCCAAATGAAAACGAATGCTTAAATCCAAAAAATTCCTTTCATAGTGCAATTTAAACTGCAAACACACAAAAAGAAATGGAGAGGAGTGGGCATCCATTCATGGCAAGACCAAGAAAAACATAGGAGGCAAAAAGAAAATGAAAATACGAGAAAAAACCAGAGGGAAATGCCGCCATGTCCTTGTCGTTCATTTTCTACCTCAATTGAAATAGTTTTCTCCTCGGCTGCGAAATTGTTTGCTGTTGCTGCAACAGTTTTTCACTTTCATTATGAAGGGAGAAGATTACGAGGGTGGTTTGACGAAATATTTCTCATAAAAGTACTTTAACTTGAAGTAAAATATTGATTCAGACACGCATTGTAAAAGGTTTTCCTTTTAATTATTTATTGAAACTGTGGCTTAGAAGAGCTTTCAAAAGTACTTAAATAATAGAAAGTATATTAATTAAGATAAACAATGAAAATTTAAAAAAAAATATTTATAAGGTTTTTTTCCTTAAAATATAAATAACATATTTTTTGACTATTATAATGGACCTTAAAAAGTGTGTTTTAAGCCTAGCTTTATGATAAAATAATATTAATAGCCAATTTGTTATTAAAAGACCTCATATATTTTGAAAGTAAGCAAGCTGTATTCTTAAATATCTTTTGGAAAAAAATATATAAGGATATGAGTGACCGATTATCCTTGAGTGAGAGTACTGGACTTCAAGCTTCTCAAAATAAAGCCACATTTTAATTTAAAGCCATAAGTACCCCCTGTTACCAAAATTGTGAATCCGAAATGTTTCTAAAATATTTCAAGCCCACTCAAATGGCATTTTCGCATCAAAAATTAAGTAAGACTGAACTGGTGAAGCAACTCTTGCCACATAATTTCTCATTCTCTTTCACAGAGCCCGCTTTCCTTTGCCCCTTTCCCCGCTTTCTTATTTCGCCTTTCTCCGCTCTAAATCTCCGGGTGTTTTTGTGTGCAACACGCAATGACAGTTCACAGCAGACAAAAGTAAGCCAAGTCCAAGAGCGAAGATTGAAGAGCAAGGAGGAGGCTTTGGTCCAGATAACAGCAAAAGATTTCTCTCTTTTTGTAAACACATTTAACCATTATTATTTATTATTACTATAGTCATTGTTGTGCCTGTAGCTGGGCAATTTCATTTCATGCTTTCGAGGGGGGACTGGGAAAACTGGAGAGCCAAAGGAAAAAGGGGACACACCTCAAGTGTAGGAGGGAAAATCCAACAAAGGGGTGGAAAATGCAGGGGCGGATAAAAAAACAGGCTAAGGTCAGTAGCTAGAGTTACCCAGTTAACTACAGGGGGGAAATGGGGTAACGAAGAATCAGGTGAACTGGTCAGGTAAAAGGCATCGGCTTACAGTTGCTTTTCACTTAATTGGATTTGCCTTGGCAGCGTCTCCTTAGCCCGGCTAATAATTGCAGTTTGTAATTATTTTCAGCCCCTTTTACTACCAGCTCCCCAGGATTAGGGATGCACTTGCAAAATGTCAATTGGAAATTAAAACTTTCCCCGGCTTAAGTCGAGCCCAAATAAGGAGCGTTAAAGGAGAAAAACTTTGTGTGTGCGCGAAACAATTTCAATTTGGTTTAATTTCCTCGTTCGCTGTAAATTTATTCAACCTCCCCTTCGATCAGGGGTTTTTCTTTTGATTGGCACTGGTGTGAGCAGGAAATTGAAATACTCACACATTCGCACTCACATTAGGGTGGAAGTTCGGTTAAAAGGAGCACTTGCTTCTGGCACTTTGGCAGCACTTATTTGCATATTTTAAGTAAAAATTTAAATTTGTTCAAACGGAAGCCTTTCTCTTTCTTCTGCTCTTCAGAGTTTGCTGTGAGTGTGTGTGTGTGAGATGTCAATAAAACAATGACGATGTCATTTGATCGCCAGAGTCGCAGACAAAGTCGGTAGTGCTCAGTTCTTCATTTCCCCGGCAAAGTGCAAACTGTCACTTAAAATGCCCCACTCAAGTCGAGTCAACTCAATTCGTTTGTCCCATCGACGGGAGTTGTCGGGAGCTTCAGTTTATGTCACGCATTATTAACACACGCCCCATCGGATGGCAGCACTAGCAGTGCAACGTGGCGTATGCGCAACGACAGTTCTCAAGCAGAGCTACTGCAACTTGGACCGTCTGCCAAGTCGTGAGCTGATTGCCAAACGCATTGCCAACGACTGCACTTGGAGAAGGGTTTTAGAGGATCTTGACACGTAATAAAACTATGATACTCGAGCATGGAATAAAGAATTCCTATAAATTACTGGATCGCGTTTTATTTCGAAATGTTCAGATGTATATAAAAATAAAGAAAATAATAAATTTGTAAAATATATTTCACAATATAGAAATCAAAATTATTAAAGAAACAGTCTATCTTTTTATAAGCTTGACTCCCAAGTGCATTGAAAATTATTTATTTCGAAGCTCGCATTATTGAAATAAAAAATATTTTCATTGATAAAATATAGTAGCTTGGATATATAGATATCCCACATTTTTTCTACAGTGTATTATCTGGGTATGTGTGGCTGAGATTTGTTTTCTCACACGAGAAACGGAGGAATCAGCAGCAGTAGGAGCAAAAATATTGTCCTCGCCCAGTCCGTATTTACGTTTCGTTTTTTGTTTTCCTCTTTTCCACCTTTTTTGCTCCACTGATTTCGTTGTCCGCCTGCACTTATGCAATGCTTTTTGGCACGTCCCGCAATGAACGGAACGTGTCGGGAGTTGGCCATGTGCGACTGTGTGTGTTTAGCGGCACTGAATCTGTGCTTGTGGCATGCAGCTGTGCGGCACTTGCACTAATGAAAAACTCCTGTGGTCGCTCCTTGTCCTTTCCTTCACTCCGGTGGCAGTTTTTGGTCAAATTCCCTAGAGATTTTCGGCCAGGTGGGGGAAAAGTGTCTTTAGCAGCGCAACGAGTTCCATTCTTTATCGAGCGAACTGCTAATGAAGCATCTCCCAACTGGGAGGAACATTGCCCCATCAGCACTGGAGTTGAGGTATCCACTTCACTTATGCTTATGCCGTCTCATTTTCCGTCTCTCTGGAGTTCCCCGAATAATTTCGCGTCAAGGTCACTGGCTTCTTGCTTCTGTGAGTCTTGTCAAGCATATTGATGTCATTATCCTACCTAGGCAACAACAAAAGCCCCAACATCGGCCTAGACAATTTCGGTTTGCCTCATGGAAAATTCCCAGACCTCCTTAGATTTCCTTCCCCCATCCACAAATGCAATCGAGGGAAACGAAGACAGACACACATCGCGGTATTTGCCACAAGCTTTTCTCCGCCTGCTTGTGGCAATTCCAAAAACACTAACAGTCAGAAAAATAATCCTACATGAAACAACAACTTGGAAAAATTTAATTTTGGTCTTAAGCTGTATTATGGAACTAGAAATATTAGAGCTTATTAAAACACACTGATATTTATGCTTAAAGAGAGTGGTTTTCTTTAAATCTCATTTCATTCTCTATACCTTTAAATTTTATTAAAAAAATGTTGTACTGCTCAAATTATTTATTTACATATATACAAAGCATTTATAATTTTGTTGGCATTATAACTAGACCCTACCTCTTTGAAAAATTTCTTAAATTTTTAGTTATTATAAACTGAAAAGCAGAAGGTCACTAAAAACAATAAAATGTGATTGTCCATTTATAAATAAACTAAATAATTAAGTCTTATATACTAACAAACTTCTTAAATATATTTTGCTATTATTTTTCCATAAAGTGTTTATTTATTTCAAAATTCTTTTATTTTACTCCTGAATAAAACCAACATGAAAATAAATTCTTTCTATAAAAATGTATTTAATGACTTTGAATGTTCCAAAGCTGTTTTTTTGTGTGCACTAAAACACACACTTCCCCAACAGTTTCACCCCAAAAAACACAATCCCCTAGCAAACAGTGCCAGCATGATGTCGTCGTTGTCGTTGTCGTTGTCGTTGTTTCGATGTTGTCGCCGCGGTTTTGGTGCCCTTCTCCCAAGCCCCCCTTCCCTGCGCCACTGTCTGCCGTGATTTCTTGCCAACTGATTTTGTGATTTTCACAGGAACAGCAGAGCACCACTTGGGTGGTTGGTGGTGCAGGGGGCGGGGCATAGAGATAGGTGCCCCGGTGGTTGGGGAGTCTGCTCATTAAATACGCTTTGACAATCGCAGTGCTACGCTTCGCTTATCTGATTGTGGGGCAGACAATGATGGATCTGCCGGGTAGTACCTCCGGTTTATTTCAGACCCAACATGTGTGCCACACCCTAATTAGCCGCTTGATCTTTAAATTTGAATGCACCATAAAACAACATATGTTGTGTGTAAATATATACAACAAAAATATATGCAAGAGCCACCCGTAAACAAGTGGATGGTGCAAAGTTGCTTTCCCCCTTTTAGCATTTTCGCATAATTGTTATGTTGATTGCAAATTTGCAACGCGGCGAAAGTAAATTCCCCAAATGCTTGCTAAACAACACTGATGATGGCCAAATGGGGTGGCCCAAAAGCGGGTGCGGCTAGGGTGGCTCGGTAAACTCGAGACGCACTTTTGACATGCAAATTTTATGCAATTTTTATGTTTATGTGTGCATTTCGGGGGGACAAATGTCAAGTGTTG